CCCCAAAACCCCAAAACCCCAAAACCCCGGGTTTCAGTAGAGAGATTGATTAGACAGAAGGATTTTAGGGGATTTGGGCTATTTTTTGAACCAGAGGGTGGAAGGGTGGGTGGGATTGGGTTTGAAGTGTTTTAGAGTGTGAGGGGGTGGGGGAGCAAGCTCTGCGATGCTTTTGGAGATGTTTGAGGTGGATTTTTGTAGAGAGTTTTCATGGTCTGGTCTTTCTATTTTGCTCTCTTCTTCGTCTAGATGAATGGGGTTCTTCTTTACTGCAATGGTCTTCTTTGGTTTGATATTTTTAGGGGGTTTGGTCTTCTTCCTATTCTTAATAAATGAGATTATCTCCTTTATTAAGAAGACAAAGCTAATAATGCTTCAAATTACTGATGCTGTCATCACAATGGAGATGTAATAGCTTTCATAGAAAGAGCTCCAGTCAGATTTTGTGTTGAGCCACGATAAGGGTACTGTCAAAGAGCAAAATAAAATCTGATTCACCATTTCAATCATATTATCTTGAGACTTCTCAAATGGTCTTACAATCAGAAGATATGATCCATATAAAATATTAACCAAAGAAAAGGATATGGCTCTTTGAAAAGACTCTCTAGATCTTCCAAAAATAATTATACTACATAAAACCAATCTCAAGAGCATAAATATGCTTGAATATAACTTAGAGAATTTTCCCAGTTTGACTCCATTGAAGTATTCTATTCAAATCTGATACTTTTCATAATTGATCTGAGGAAAAGAACTGGCATACACAATGAATGATAGAATGAACAACACACTCGTTCACAGGGCAAACATGATTCAGAGTCCAAAGGACACCTTGGTTACAGTTGTTTTCAGGTTGACAGCGTATAACTCAGAAAATATTGACAGATTCGTGAACAAGAAAGCTTGAATAAATATTCTGATGTATATGTTAAACGTAAAGAATTGAAATAATGTATCCAAAAGCTTGCCTCAACGTTTATGCTTATGATCATCTACTCATTTTCTTCATAAAAATATTCAGATATGTGCTAGGCCAACCAAGATTATTGTCGCCATGAGTGATAGATAGTTGACAACAGAGCTTCCCGATCTCAACCCAAGGCTATTAAGATACTCATTTGATTGTGAATATGAGACCCATTTTTTTATCGCATTAACAAATGGTATATCTCGGGCTCTAATAAAGTCAAAAGACAGCATCGTGAACTCCATTCCGTTCAATAAGTCTTGCACTTTTTCTGAGAAGTAATCCGGAATCATCGGTAGCAATATGACTAGTTGCATGGTATTTATAATGCTCATTATAGAACTGATCGAAGAAAATGACAGAGCAGACGATGCAGCTGCCATTACTATGCTCGCTATCATCAAAGCAGAGGCAGTATCCTTGGCTCTTTGGATTTCTGATGATGTCTGATAAATAGATTCTTGGCCATCAGAGTCTTTGTTAATCCAAACCTGTCATTGACTAGTGTTACCTAACTGTCAGATCTCACAGCCAGGGATGGTTCAGAGCTCCACAGTGATTTCGAACTTCTTAAGATGTACTTCACTGTTAAAAGAAATTTGTAATGTAAAGTAAAATGTTTCTGTGATATTAAGTTTTGGAGTTTTGTTCAAGTAGAGCTCATTGCTGCCAGCATTGAGCTGCACCCAGTCAGGGGTCACATTAGCTCCAGTCTGCACAATGATGAACGAAATAACTGTGTAGTTATCAATCTGGGCTCATGGCCAGTTGAAGTTGACTTTGGCCAGAGTGTTGCTCTGAAAGGACTCCACGTGGTCGGCATTCCACAGCGCCACATAAATCTGGGATGTTGGGTTAATCGAAGTTGTGATGTCTAATGTTGAGATTGCAGAGGAACTTAAAATTGTAGCTGTCCGAGGATTTGAAGTCAAGCTTGGATCTGAAGTTGTTGATGAAATTTGGAAAATAGTCGTAATTTGAACGAATGTGACCGGATCTTCCTGGAACTCTGGGAGTTGATTAATATTGTTGATGGGTGTTCTAGCGAAGAAAAATGTATTGTTTGCTTGGTTTGTTCCACAATGATACATGAATTCAGTCCCTTGATAAAGTATTCGACCGATGCCAAAAGATTGAGAGTTGAATGAGTTGTATTCTTTTAAGACATTTGCATTATCAATGTCGAACAAAACAAGTTTCTTATAATTGTCGAGTGAATCGCTAGTAATTTGAACAGCTACAAAATCATTGAACTCTTCAATAGAATAACTGTTGAAGGCATTATTATCTGCCAATAAGAAGCCAGGGTTCTGTGGAGACCCATCTGCAGCATTTATCTTGTAGAATAAGAAATGATTTTTGTAGATGACCATTAGGAATATTGATTGTTCATCCCTGCTCAAAATAGAAGAGCTGATAGTGTTCGAGCAACTTGAACCTGGGCATGGAATAACCTTTTTCCATGCAAGATTTGAGGGATCTGTAAAATTATAAGCTATTAGGTAGTAGTCTTTAAAAGCAGTGTCGATGGATCCCATAAATAACAAATTATTGCTTAGAGCCACAAGAGTAACATGCCTCAAGATACCAAAACCCAATCAGGTAAGACCAGAGGTTGATCTATCCCACCTTCATGTTTCAATCGTGGAGCTGGTCTCAATATTAAAGTATAAATAAGTGTCGATCCCTGCGTTAACAATCGAATTCATCGCCCCAGAGGGATTAACCGAAAACTCTCTAGTAACACCAAGATCTCTAGTAATCTCGATTTCAATAACCCTGTTAGACCTCCTATCAAGAACATACATAAAGGATCCATCTTGAGAAATTGCAAAGGAGATGTAAGCTCAGTGAAGATCGTAGGTCATTACTTTTAGTGGAGATAGGTTGAAGTCTGATTTGTAGATAATAGTCTGGATCGGATTAGCCCCTATTGCATAATACCCTACAAAATACAGAAATCCACCTTGAGGATCCTGGACCACATTAAAAAAGAACGCAGAACTACTCCCAGCCAGCTGAAACCTTGCTGAAATCGCTGACCCCATCGCTTGGTCTTCACTCCGTCACAAATTAGCTTCTATACCTGCCACTAGTACTATCAGGACTAAAAGTTCCTTCATTTTAGTAGAATTCATTAATTATTTATTAACTTTCTCCAATTTTATCCCAGTGCAAGGGGTTTTGGGGTTTTGGGGTTTTGGGG